CTTCCTTTTCTATATGTTGGTCTAAAGTGATAGTAATTTCCAAAACATCTACTATAGGACGCCGTTTGTTGGAATTAAAATGTTAACAGGCGAACGTGACATTTTTTTAAATCCTAATGTGCCAATAATGGCACGCTGAGAAGATCGTGTGATAGCGATTCATATGCAGGTGGCGGTTCGCAGGAAGCTAGACCATCGATGTATATAACCTAACCCGGGTTATATACATGTATGTATATAAGTTAGGTTATATACATCGATGAGCCAGAATAAGCCACCACGAGAGGTGGCGTACTGGCGTGGCACGAGCTTTTAAGGAAATGGAGACAAGACAACTGAATGATTAGTTGATTACTCATTACTGTATAAACTGAGTTAGCATCCAAAAGATATTCGTTGTAGAGCATTAGTTCACTGGCAATAACTACCTACTTGTATTAATTGGTACACCACTGAATAGTTTACTAAATACAGAAATACTATGACAATAATAGGACAAGACACCATAGTTTCCACAGGTTCAGAATATATCAGCTGATAAGATCTAAACGATCAGCTGATGTGTATAACTAACCAACAAGCTGATAATTTTGTTGGTAATAAACCAGACTTATTTCCTAAACACCCTTCTAGCACGTTAATAGTCCAAACAAGAGATTAGTCATGAATACGCCTTGTCTATCCCATGTGGTCTCTTGATCGTCACTAGTGTTAAGGGGTTTTTGTAGGGTTCTGTACACTGTGGGATTGAACGTCTAGATTTTGTTGATGTTTGTGTGCTTGTCTAGATGGCACGTTTTATTATACAGGGTGTGTAAAACATATTCAGCAGAAATTTAATCATTAAGCAAAGTAAATAGAACAGTAGAAAAACTACCGTATTCATGCACACACGCACACTCACGGACAACCTCTATTGTGTTCCTGTATAAAAATATATGAATATCATTATGATTATGGTTTATTGTGAAGTTGTTATTATTTCCCATCACATAGCTACCTAGGAGGATTAAACATTAAACACCCCGATGCAAGGCACGGGTATAGCTGCTAGCAAATACGAATAGTAGTGCTGATTTGCAGTAGCTGTTCAAATGGCGCTACTAATTGCACCAACGGGATTGATTTGTTTAGTATCTAATATGAATTAGAGTTAATCATGTACTACCGCAAAGTATTCTTTATACATAAATTACAATTCCATAATACCCCCACCGCAGCGAACCTGCAGCCAAAGCAAATTTCCATTTGTGTGACTTTATTTTCAATTAAATCTAATTCAATAACATTAGGTTTAACGAGTACCTAGGTTTTTGCTGCCTACAGGGAGGGCATTTGATTTTAAGGAACATATCTATATAATTAATACGCTACATGAAACTTTGTCGGTTGAACTCCTCCGCCATTTCTTAACCGATTTTATCCATTGACGTCTCATTGGAAAGAGCGTGTCGCGTAGATTTGCAAACTGGTCTTACATTTTTGCAAAAAGTCGCTTGGGCTCTGCCCCAGTGGTTTTGAAAGTTCCCATGTTATCCTTATGAAGAACATAATTGTTTACATTTTGATCAGCTGTAAATTGCTGTTATTTATTTTTCAATTCAATAAAACGCATTGCGTACGTTTATTTACTATTTGAGTTTGTGTAAACATAACCCCCAAGACGGATCGTGTTAGTATGGTTGTATCTTAAATTTTCGTGTATTTATCGTTGTTTTGTGTCGCTATGACGGATCGTGTCAGCATGATTGTAACTTAAATTTGTGCATTTAGCGTTGTTTTGTGTAGCTATAATTTGTTTATTTGTTGTTTTTTTTTTCTTTTAAATGCCCCCGACGTGTCGACAGCGAAACATAGACAGGAGGCGTAATCGTGAGAACGACCGCAGCTACAGAACAGTGGCGCGTAATAGGCTTACCTCATCACAGTCAACACCTGACCCTGGACAATCTCAACTATCAGGTTACAAATGCGCCCTAACACTACCCCAAAACGACTTTTCGTTCTCAATTGGCCCTCTTTCAATGACCAATGTTGCCTGTACAGCGAGGCATTTTGAGAAGGAGAAAACCGGCCGGAATGCTTTAGGTTTATCAATAACGAAGATAAACATGGTCTAAGTTACACACCGGTAATCTTTGAGTTGGCTCTTTTAAACTCATTGTAAATTTGTTTTGAAATAAATCCTGTAATACTTTGCAATTGCTCGAATTCGAGCAACACGTGCACTAGTCATATACTAATCATATACTTCTCAGGCTGGCAGTCCTGAGTAGCGGCTCCTTGTAGTACCATCACCCTTTCGGTACTCTCTACCAGATAAGTGGTTCCCTGCTGAAACATGCATGTATTATTTTTCCAAGCGAAGGGGACTGTTAGTAATTCATACACCTTCCACTGTGATCGTGACCTTCTCAGAGGAACCTTTATGTTTATCAATATCTCTTTATCTGAAATGACACAATCACTTATTTCCAATTTTAAATATTTTGTTACTTCCTCCACCGGTATCGCCAACTCGTAACCATCCTGCTTCACTGCCTCAGCTATCTCGTCCAAATCTGCTCTTAGCTTTTGAATAGTTACAATTGAATTAGGTATTTTCTTTTCCCTACACTGACTTATCACTTCTAAACGTGTGATCAGCTGAATGGTCTGTAGCTGCCTAACCACGTGATGTGCATTAACCTGCAACAAACTAAAACTCTTAAAATCGTTGACTTTATCGATTGTGAACTATTCCTATTCCGTTGCTGGAATTTGTTTATTACTTTAGTTATGTTTACTCCCACATCAATAACTTGAGCGAAGGTCCGCTCTAACTCCCTGCTATAATTTTGTATATTTAAATCAACATTATCTATTTCGGCATAGGCTTCAGTAATCTGGTCCTGTAAATCACGCTCAAACTCAGACATATGTTTTTGGTTAGTAAACAAGGGTTTCAGCTGTCGATTCGTCAATAACCCACAACACCAATGGGCTAAATTGCCTAGGGCTTTAATACTACGAGACACTCGGTCTAGCCTAGGACTGGAGCTGGTCAGTTCCAGCGTCGTCAAACTGGAATTCAGTCGCTTGAGCTGCCACCCAACCTGCTTATCGGTCTGTAACACCCATGAAAATAACACACACTGAGGGTCATTCATTGTTGTCCCACAAAACCCATCTTTTTCTGGTAATGGAAGTTGCGCCATGTCCATCGCTGGTCACACACTCTTGTACATAAGTGGTATGGAGGACTCGTATACCACCGTCTCTCTTACTTCTTTCCAATGAACACCAGAAGTCACCGATATTGGTATTGGTTCTGAGTCACTAAAGACTAAGCCTAGGCTACAACATGTTACATACATATATGACAATAAAAAGACCATTTTGAGCAGTAACAACAAGTATGAATATAGCCAACACATTTATTTACAAGCTAAAGATTAAATATCTATTAGGCAAAATAAGACCTTGTTAAATAAAATACACTTTAAAAGAAATGCTTACAATAGATATAGCATTATAACGCAACTGTGGATAATACTTAAGTACACCTCCTTGACACTCCTGCGACCACGTAGGGTTTACGTCCTAGCTGCTGCACTTAGCACGGTCACTACTTCCGAACAACTGAGGAACCAATTCCCGAACTAGTCCAATCGAAGTATTCGCTCTCCTGACTTGGCTATTGCGCCCTCGGTCGTGCCTAGTCACTATCCGTACAAAGTTCAGTTTATCGACCCTAACGCTTTGAATGTGATTGTCGCTATGATTAACAACATGATAACTACCTATATACACATTTTTTTTATACATGCTATATTTAACGTGTCCCCTTTTAATCACTCTGGTTTTCTTTTATCACTCTTGATCACTGCTATTCCATCCTTGGATGGTACGGCTTCAGTCGACTCACGTGCACACTGTCGTGGTACATGACTCTCCTTCCTCTTGGGGCGAACTCTATTTCATAGTTCACGTCTGAAATCTTCCTGTGGATCTTGTACGGCCCGTGCCACCGATGCAAAAGTTTTGTAGATCTTCCTTTTTTTCGGACTGGAACCCACACCATAGTCAAAGATCCCTCTTGGTACTCCACGTGACGATGCCGGCTGTCGTATCTCTCCTTCTGTTTTTTCTGAGCCTTAGCAACTAATTTTATCACATCTTCTCGGCAGCGGCGAACTCGACTGATCATCTCTTCTGCAGTCTGGTCCTGGAGTTGATTTGGTACAAGTGTTGCATCAATTGGCAACCTGGCCTCTCGCCCATGCATGAGGTAGAATGGGGAGTGTTTCGTGGTTTCTTGTCTGGCTGTGTTATAACTGAAACAGGTCAGATTGACATAGAGGTCCCAATCTCTCTGATTTGTGCTTACGTAATGGAATAGCATCTGAGCCAGCGTCCCATTGAAGTGTTCAACCAAGCCATTGCACATTGGATGGTACGCTGTAGTGAAAGTAGTCCTTATTCCCAGTCCATGCAACAGTTCTGTTACAAGAGTTGACCTAAAATTGGTACCACGGTCAGATAGAATTTCTGTTGGACATCCAAACTTACAGATTATTTTATTTATAAGAAACTTGGCTGTTTCCTCGGCCGTAGTGCTTCTAGTAGGTTCGGCCTCGACCCACTTAGTTGCGTAGTCCATTGCGACTATGATATACGCTTTTCCTCGGCTTGTCCTTGTGAATGGTCCTAAGAAATCAATGCCAATTCTTTCCATGGGTAATCCTACTGGGATCGGCTGTAATAGTCCAGCGGGCGCTTGTTTTGGTGTTTTGCGCGTCTGGCAATCTCTACAGGTTTGTACGTATCTTTCAACATATTGGGCCAATAGTAGTGACCTTTCACTTTGAAAAAAGTCTTACTGAACCCCAAGTGTCCCCCTGATAACGGGCTATCATGGCACTCCTACAGTATCTCCCTCCTTACTTCCTTGGGAACCACTAACAACCTGCTGTTTCCCAAATGGGCGGGATTCTTTTTATATAGAATTCCGTCTTCTATCACAAAACTGCGGGACAACCTAGATCTTTGCTCACTGCTTTTTCTGGACTTTCCACGGCTTCTCTTATCCTGTGACACTCTTCATCCTCCCCTTGAAGCTGTCAAATGTCACTCACGTTCAGTGTCAACATTGGAATCTCATTGGTTTTCTTCTCATCCTCTGGACTACACTCTACACACCCATTCCGTGATAAGCAATCTGGTACGACATGTAATCGTCCTTGTTTGTGGCGTATTTTGTAATCAAATTCCATAAGCTTCAAAGCCCACCTTCCTAACCTGCCGGACAGATCCTTGTTTCTGCTTAGCCAACACAAGGCATGGTGATCGACAACAATAGCAAACGTTCTGCCCCACAGAAACTGCCTAAAATGTTGGACTGTCCATACCACCGCGATACATTCCTTCTCTGTCGTACAATATTTCTTCTCTGGGTCAGAGAGTCGTCGAGACGCATATGCTATTGGAAATAACATATCACCCTCCTGCTGCATAAGGGCGGCTCCTACCCCTGAGTCACTGGCATCGGTATGCAATTCTAGAGGTAACTGTGGATTGAAATGCTTCAAAATCGGGCCCGACGTTAGCTTGTCCTAAAGAGTGCGAAACGCCTCCTCCTGTTCTTGACCCCAGTTAAATCCCACATCTTTCCTTGTCAACTTAGTTAACGGCTCAGCTATTTTTGAGAACTGCGGAATAAATTTCCTATAATAGTTACAGAGCCCTAAAAACGACCTCACTGCTCTTACTCTCTAAGGGGGTTCGAATTTCAACACGCTGTCAACCTAAGAGGGATCTGGGTGAATCCCTTCTTCGTCAACCATATGACCTAAGAATTTCACTTCACCGTAGCCAAAAGCACATTTCCTTGGGTTCAATGTCATCGAGGCATCCCTTAGCCTTTCCAGAACCATTCTCAGTCTATGCAACATTCTATCGAACTCTGGGGCCATGATGAGCAGATCGTCAAGGTACACTAGACATGATCCCCATTTTAATCCGGCAAGAACTGAATGCATCGCTGAATGCAGCGATGCACCGGCATGCATCGCAGGAACACTGCTGGGCTAGTTTTAAGTCCAAAGGGGGTGACTTGGGACTCCCAGAGACCGTCAGGTGTTATGAAAGCAGTTTTACTCTTGTCCTCTTCTCTGATAGGAATTTGCCAGTAACCTGAATTTAGGTCCAGAGTGCAAAACCACTTGCATCCATTGAGGTAGGTGAGTATATCGTCTATTAGAGGTAATGGGTACTGGTTTGCGATTACCTTCTCATTTAGCTTACGATAATCAACGCAAAACGCCAGTCGTCATCTTTCTTACGAACCAACACTACGGGGGTTGCATACTGGCTTCGACTAGGCCTTATAACATCTCTCTGTAACATCTCATTCACCTGATCCCGAATTATCTCTCACTCTCTCGATGTGACACTCGATAGGGTGGTTGATGTACAGGTTCACTGTCGTTCAGCGCTATTTCAAGCTCACAAACCGTAGTCTTCCCGATTTGTGACCGGTCCAACGAAAACCTGTCCTGGAATTCTCTCAGAAGTTCTACAAGTCTTCTTCTCTTGTCCGAGGCTAGATTGGGGTTGATATCCAGTTCATTCTCTTCGAGACGTTCTCTTCTTTTGACATCCACCCTGTCTTCTTCTCCTTCTTCTCTGCCTTCCTTTTGAATATAGTCTTCTTTAACTCCATCAGCTTCGCAAATTTCAGCAAGAACCTCACCCTTAGCCAGACTTCTTGTCTGGGCAGAGAAATTCACTACCATCAGTTGCTCTGGTGGGGGATTCGTACTTAGGCCTCTTGGTACCAGTATTGATTTCTCGTTGAACAGTTCTAGTCGAGGTTCTATGATGCCAAGACTAGGTAAGGGGTTGTCATATGTGATCCTTAGCAACCTATGGCTTCTAGGTGGGACCTCTGCAGCGTCCGCGCATCTTACTCCGATAGTGGGACTCTTAAAGTCTTCCAATTGGATTTGGTTTAGCCATGTAGGGTCCGGCGGGGGTTTCAAGTACTTGGCCTCTCTCTCTCTACTCAAGAACTTGACTGTAATTACTCTCCCGCGCATCGTTTCGAATTGTACTAGTCTCTTGGAGAAATTAATAACGGTGTTGAACTGAAGGCGGAAGTCGTTCCCTAGTATACAGCAATTTCCTAGGCCTCGGGCCACAAAAACAGGGAATCTCAGGATGCACTGACTAACATTGGGCGTTATTTTAGTTCTCCCTACAATCTGTACTGGTTCGTCTGTAGCGGTCTTCATATTAACTTTATACACTGGACTTATCACTCCTTGTCCGTTTTGTATTAGCGTCTCATCAATACAGCTAACACATGCACCAGTATCAATGATAGTCTGCCCTACAGTGCCATTAACTGTCGCTTTAATCTCTAGTACTCCAATGTTACCCACTGAGTGCGGATTGGCTTCCACTCGAACCTCCTCTCCCCGTCGTTGCCATGTGGAATCTTCTTGCTGAGACTGCCTTCTATTTGTGCCCGAACCTCTTCTCCACTGAGTCCATTCCTCTGGCCTCCACGATACTGTCGCCAGGTATCCTGCCACTCCTGTCTTTCATGCGCTTTGCATAGTGTTGCCAGACGCTGTGGAGAAGCTCTCCCTTGGTTCTGCTGTTGAGGGGAGTAAGTGGACTGAGAGACGCGTCCTCCCCTGTTTAGCGTCCCTCTCGCCCATTTCCCGAATCGGTAGATCTACAGGCTACAGCGTAGTGTCCCGGTCTGTTACACTTATAACATATTACCCGACCATCAGTCGTACGCTCTCGGAACATTCCTCTGTAGTCTCCTCGTCCACGTCCTCTCATCGGTCGGTTCTCCTCTCCCTTATATCTTTGTCGGTCATAGGCTCCTCTACCTGGTGGGTTATTTCGGGGCCGTGACTCTAACAGGCGCATACTAACCTTTGCGAGTTCTGATGCCAAACTTTACGCTCTCCAAGGTTGAGGTAGCTGCTTGTACAGGTGTGTCCTTGGATGCCACTGTATCTATGTTTCTAGGTAACTCTGACATTAAATGATCAACCCTCTGTCCAGCCATGTAGCGAGCAGTTTGAACTCTTCGTATGTTCTTCATTAGATTTTCTAGGGTGTAATTTTCCATGATCATGACCTTTTCCAAAAGTGAAGGTTTCAGTCCTCTAAGTACGTGCTTAACTTTACTCCTCTCTGACATAGCTGCATCGAGTTTTGTGCACAAATTCAAGACATCTTGTAAGTAGGCTTCAACGGGTTCATCTTCACCCTGCATTCGTAGCCTCAATTTGTACTCGAACTGTTCCTCCCAGGCGATGGACTGAAAAGCTTCTTTCATCCTAGCTTTTACTATGTCCCATGTCAAAGCTTCGCCCTGAGCCTGCTCCAAATTTTCATACCACTTGAGAGCCGGGCCCTCCAAATACCATGGGAGTATCACTAACTTCTTTGCCTGGTCCCAGCCGTTGGCTTTTGAAACCCTCTCAAAAGCCTGGAGATATTCCTCGACATTTTCTTCAAGACCACCCCTAAATCGTGGAGGGGCAATCATAGGTCCACGTGCCTCTGTCATTGCCTCGGGATATTCCTCTTCGTTACTCTCTGACACCTCTTCTTCCTCCTCCTCTGTTGCGTTTCTTACTTCTTCTCCCTCTTCGTTCAACTCTTCCTGTGAAGTCAAGCTATCTGACGATTCGCCAACCGGTGTCTCAGGAATATCGTCCAAAACTATTATCTGTGCGTTCTCTTCAAGTGAGGACATCAGGATCTCATCGCTTGAGAGTGACGATTGCCGACTTCTACTGCGTGTAACAACTGTGAAACGTATCGGCGTCTTCTTAATATGTCCCACATCACACCTGACCCACTTAACTAATGGAGCACACAGGAAAAAGTTCAAAATTTGTGTACACCTATCTATCCTAACCTAGTATCAAAATATCACAAATATTTATATACAAAAAAAAATGGAACAAGACAATCAATTATGCTTTATCTGCGATCCAACCTGAAAAGTATAAGTTAGCAAACAACCCAATACAATGAACGATTACTTACACCTATACCCTTTAAGTCACTTTCTAAATATTTGTATATATATATCAGCTGCAAACAAAGCGTTAGACAATATTACTTATACACAACCACTATGAAATACAAACACAAAATATCAACCAAATATACTACTCAGAATCAAAATCAACACAATTTATACTTAAATAACTCAATCAACACTAATGAATAACGTGCGGTTTAGCTATTTACTAGGAGATGGAGATTGCAGTCATTCTCAAGGAGTTTGACCTGGGTATAAGCCACTCTAACTGATATCAGCACCAACAAAACAACACAATCTAACTTTTTAACTACAAACAACTCAAATTTATATTACAAATTTAAAACTAAATGGCTATATACTGCCCCTCCCTACCGGTACCAAGAATGACCTTCATCCACCATCGTTACTTAAATTCTAATTAAAATAACCTTAACATACACTCCTTCTATCTCTTACAAACCCTTTTTCCTTTATATACCGGTCCGTATTCCGTATCAGGATCCAAACACCTCAGGAATACCCGGCGCCACCCCACCAAATTTGTTACGCACCCCTCGTCCAAAGGGGTAGTAACGGGGGGGGGGGTGGTGTAGCTCAGAATAAATACACTAGGCTTACCTTAACATTCATCTTTACTGTTACTTGGTCCCTGACGCTCGTCCTCCCTTGTTCTGCCCTAAGTACAAAATCCGACTGCCCTCAGCTTACGCGACAGATAGGTCCTCTTCCTGTCGTCTCGCCCATCGTCCTCTCTCCCTCTGCTCTCCTCTGGGGGTTGCCGTAGTCTCAGGATGACATCTTCCTCCTCCGTTTCCTCCCAGGCGATGAAAAAAGGTTTAAATAGGTTTATTTTTGCTCGGTGAGCGCAAAATTCCATGTACTAAGTTCTATACAAGCAAGAACTCAACTGAATGATTTATCCACCGTTCCACAAACTAATTAGTTGAAATAGGACGAAATGATTTATTATGAATTTAATTTTAACACCAAACAGGTACAACTTAACACACCTTAATCAGGTTTGGTACCCTTGGCATGATAGGGCGAGGATGTTACATGGGAGGGTTCCCATTATTTGGCAAACTTAGTCCAATCTTCACTTATAAAATTTTTGGGGTTATCTGTAACCAATGTTTTGGAGATTCCCCATCGGCTAACGGTGTTATGCATAAAGGAACCAAACGCCACTAACCTAAAACTGAGTTAAGGTCCATTTTAGTTGCTTGTATGCCTATAATTATCTTACTACAAAAACAGCCAAATAAAGTTTTAAATGTATATATGATATATTTCTACACTTGAATATAAGTAAAACATATACTTTTATCTCTAAATTTTTATTTAAGAGCCTAAAATGGTTCTTTTATGCATTATCAAAATATTGGGTTGCAAAATGCATACAGGAACCATGGCACTTGGTTCTTTTATGCAATTTAGAATATGGGTATAAATAAACTAACAGGTCATAAAATAAAACATTGTAATACAAAATAACCTAATTAAATAAAATCAATAAGCTAATATAATACAGTTTTTTTCTTAACTATGACACACATTAATGTCGATTCCGGCTATCCTAGCCTTCAGCAGTCTCAATTTCAAAATCTAGCTCGCCATTGAATCCCTCGATGTCATCTACAATGTCGTCACTCGAGGTAAAGTTTTTATAAAACTGTTTTGCGTCTGATGGTATGAGACTCAATAGGGACTTCAGGTCTTTGAGCTTTTCAGCAGATATTGGCTTTCCAGCAGGCCACAAAGTAGGCAGTGCGTTCGAAAACAAGTGTACTGATTGTCTTCCGGGCGACTTCTTTTTTATATCGATTTCTCGAAAAAGTGCTACCGTAGGGACATTTTCTTCTGGCTTTACCATCTCTGTCGAAAAGAAAATTGAATAAGGATGGTCTTTGTTCAAATCTATGGATCTAATATTGAACCAGTTTAGCTTTTCATTCGAAGTATCTACTTTTCGGTTAACTATTCCTTTTTCCAATTCCCTGGTGCTGTAGAAATCGCCACTATCCATGACTTTCACAACAAATGGATTTTTCTTTCTGCAATGTTTCATGACATTTCTGTAATCGTCCGGAGTGTAAATTCTTTGCTGCAGCTTTAAGGCACTTTCTACATCGCCAAAGTCGGAGTCATTGGGCATGAAGGAGTGGCCAGGAACAAAATACTTCAAAGTGACACATTTTAACGTAGGGTTCTGTTCAAGTATGTGTTTAATCATGAGGGTGATTTTGATATTACGATTTTGTCCCCCACATGAATCGGACCATAAAATTAGTTCTGTAATGTTCTTACACTCCTCTGAAATATGCTTTAGCAGACAAGATCCCACTTCTTGGGCACCTCTCCCTGCAGTGCCTTCTGTCCAAGTATAAAAAAATCCTTTGTTTGTCTTGCCTGAATGAACGCCACTATTATAAAACATTAGTTGTCTTTTATAGTACACGACATTCGTTGGTATTCTTGGTAACGGCAAGGATTTTTCGAGGTCAAACGTTAGTGTCTCTATGTTGGGATTTTCTTTTGCCTTTTGTACATCTCGTTTTAACATTTCTCTAGCATTTTCTGCTTGAACTAAGTGTGCGTCATGTTCTTTTTTAAGTTTTTCATTTTCCTCATCATCATTGGTTGAACCAATTTTTGCAGCATAAACATCACATACACTGCAGGTATCTTTTTTAAGCGGTTTTCTTTTCAAATTAAAGTTCTCATAAAAAATACGTTTGTAAGTGGCAAATGATACTGCTCTCTCATGTTCATTTTTATATGTGTCATACATAACAGCTAATGTAGTGTTTGTTGGGAGGTAAGACCTGTCAGTACTGGATCTCGCGTAGTGTGACTTGTAAGTTGGAAATTTATTAATATGTTCTACATACCTATATAACCTCATCAATTTTTTCCTGTTTCAGTGCATTATAACCACCATGTGATCCCCTTTTGTCTTTTAAAGTTTCAGGCCGCATTTTGCACAGTGCCGTATTTATTCGCTTTGTTGAAATTTTAAAATTATTTACAAACATGTTACGACACACTAATTTTCCACAAATGAAGTAACTTCTGGTATATTTTCTTTTTTCAGATTCCTTATTGCGTTTCCTTTTTATTTCTTCTTGTGTTATGTGAGCACATATATAAGCATTTTGTGCTTCATAATGTCCCAGTTCCCAAAACTTGTTGAACTCCAACTTCCTTGATTCT